TAGTTGTGAGCCAACGATAGTGGTGGTGGTAGTAGTGGGGGCATCGATAGTATGGTGGTGGTAGTATGGTAGTGTGGTGGTTGTGGCGGCGACCGTGATGGTTGTGTATTGGAAATAGGGCGGCGGTGGCGGTGGCGGTGGCGGTAGCGATGGTAGGAGAGCGTAATGGTGGTAATAGTTAAATAATATTATTTTTTTTAAGTGCCAACCAAAAATAATAATAATAATATTTTATAACAATTCCATGATGGAATGGAATGGTCATTCCTATGTTCTCACATTTTGTTAGAATAGCTATTCTAATGGAATGACTATTCTCACTTAAAATAAAACTTACCAAACAAGATAAAGGAAAGACAAAATTAGAATAGACATTCCATTTCAACCCATTTTATTGTAACAAACATGTTCTTAATGATACTTCCAACCAATAAAAATGACCAAAGACAATAATAAAATGAAGAAAATATATATTTTTTTTTCAAAAATTCACACTTGGTTGCAACTTGCAAATGCACTTAAAATCCTCCTCCCACGCAATCCCATTTTCTAATCCAATGTTGGAAGTATATCAAGATAAGAGTAATAATATTATAATTTTATTTAAAATTTTCCACGTTTATTTATTTATTTTTCTGCCTTTAACCTCTCACAAAAGTAGTGCAAGAAGTTAAATTCATTAGTCAAACAATTTTAATATTTTTCCATACTTTTAAGGGGGATTTGATAATAATCTCCTCACTGTCTAACTTGTCTTTAAAAAAGATAAGAATTATATAGATTCATTCAAAACTCTCTATTATTTTAAAATTTGTTTATTTTACTATAATACTCTTTATATATATATATATATATATCAGATATGTGCTCTTTTACTCTCTCTCATTTTGTTCTCACTAATCCTTGTCTTTACTGGCACCACCGTCGCTCACCATAGAACTCTTTTTCTACCGTCGTTTATCACATCGAAGACCTCAAATCTGAGATCATTTTAATCGTTGTCATAGAAAAATGACGGTTCACGAACCTCATATTTGAAATCCTTCAATTCATTCAAAACTCTCTATTATTTTAAAATTTGTTTATTTTACTATAATACTCTTTATATATATATATATATATATCAGATATGTGCTCTTTTACTCTCTCTCATTTTGTTCTCACTAATCCTTGTCTTTACTGGCACCACCGCCGCTCACCATAGAACTCTTTTTCTACCGTCGTTTATCACATCGAAGACCTCAAATCTGAGATCATTTTAATCATTGTCATAGAAAAATGACGGTTCACGGACCTCATATTTGAAATCCTTCACTCTCTCTCTCTAGCTCTAATGGTTCGTGCTCTGTGTATGTATGTGTGTGTGTCACTCACTATTTATGCTCTCTCTCTCTCTCTCTCCTTCTTCTTCTTCTTCTTCTTCTTCTTTTTGTAATGCTCTATTTTTGAACTTTATCTCTTTATCTCTTTCTTTTCTTCTCATGATGCCATGTTCTTCGAACAGTAAAATTTTACTCTGATTCATGAAGCAACCCTCTCATATAAAGCCATTCCCGCAGCGTGTTTCAGAGTAAATTTTACTTTGAATCTTAATAAATTTTACTATAATTTAAAGTAAAATTTTACTTTCGTTAAACAAATCAGCAATCAAATTCTATTTTCATTAACTAAAGTAAAATTTTTTATTACAAAAAAACAGAGTACATACTAGATGAAAGAATCGAGGTTGAATTTTACTCTTAGATATATGAACAACCGAACAAAAAAACTCTTATTTATACAAATTTGATTACTTCATTAATACAGATTTCATTCTTCGTTGAAACGTGAGCTCTCTTTGGAAAGCAACGACTTCGTTCATACAAATTTGGAGATCGCCAGAGAACATGTAATATAGATTTGGAGATCAACAAGCGAGTTTGTGCTAGGATTCTTGTGACTTGGAGAACAGATTGGACATCATCGACTTCGTTGGTACAAATTTTCAAATCTATGATATATATATATATATATATATGCAATGGCAAATATTGTCCAGAGAAAAAAAAGGAAATTTTTAGTATGTCCTTACTCAGTTATGCACCTCCTCTTTATGGATTTAAGAAATAAAATAAATTAGGCTGTCCTTCACCCTAAACAAGGGCCCAATAAGGGAGTTTTCACCAAACAAATCCCACTTTTTATAGTGATACATAGAAAAATTACAAAGATACAAAGATGGGAAGAAAATTACAATTAATTATAATATAGCAACTTAGGAAGCAAAAAATATCTTTTTAAAAACAAATATAATTAAATTATATGATTAAGATTATCAAATTAACTTATTTTTTTAAGTGTTTTACTCATATGGAAAAGTGATTTTTTTAATAGAATTTTTTATTAAAATATGAGGTGAAAATTTCTTAAGCGTATGTGAATGACTTTTTGACATTTTAAGAAAAAATATGCAAAAAATTAAAGAAAATGTGAATAAATCTTTTTTTTTTGTATAAATTTTTAGTTTTAAACTTTAACATAAAAATAAAAAATATTTGAGCATAACAAAATAAACTATGAATTTTTAATTTTATCAATTTAAATTCTAATTTTTTGATTTGTTTAAAATCTAAATTATTTGCCTATTTTCGTTATGTAAAATTGTAGAAAAAATATATTTCAATCATTAAACTCAATATAAGTATGCAAAAAATATCTAAAATATTAATTTTCATTGAATTTATTGACTAAAATACATTTTTCTTTTCTTTCTTTTTTTTTTTGACAATTTTAGTTAACGAAAATATAGACAAATAATTTAGATTAAAAACAAATAAAAAATTCTAGATTTAAATTGATAAAATTAAAATTTTATTTTATTATAAAATTCAAATCTTAATTTTTTAAAATAATTTTTCTAATATTTTTTGTAACTTTTTAATTGTTTTAATCACTTAAACTGTGTTTAGTTGAGAGATTTGAAAAAAAATCTAGAATGAAATTTTTTTAAAAAATATGTAAGATTAAGTGAAATCATATATATATTATTAAAAGTAGTGTTTTTTCCATACTTAGGAGATAAATTATAAGGATTTACTTTTTTCTAAGAGAGTCATGTCAACATATATTTTCTTAATTACAAATAGAGTTCTACATAAATCCAAACATAATTTAAATTATACTAACTTTACCTATTTTATATGGATTCTATTTGACAAATATTTTTGTTCCATATATTTTTCATGATAAATTGAGATCGATAATCAACAAACCTAATATCAATTTTGCGTTTCACGTTTTTTTTCTTAATTCTTTGAAGAGTATGAGGATTTGTTTTTTTAATGCAAAATTACCTTTTTTTTCTGTGCATTATTCTATACCCAATACCAATTCTATATTATTTTATATTACGGATTTGTTGCTTAAATTTTATAGTGATTCTATATATAAAATTATACTTCATTTGTTACATTATTTTATATAATCACAACTCATAAGAGAAAACATGTATAACAATGATACTCTCGAAAAACCTCTAAAGTTTGGATTTACTACTTGAGTTATTTTTCAATTATTGAATTGTAAGTTATTTTATGTTTTGATATCATATTATAGTTAATTAATCACTTCACACACTGAGATATATCTAGATGTTTTTATTATTTTTTCTTTTTAGATTTAGATGTTGTTATGTGATTCTTTCTTAGTTAGTTGTTGTTGAATTTGTTTTATATAGTTGATATTTTAATTTAATTAAGACTGTTTATTTTACATAATTTAATATATATGTATATATATCATATAAAATTATTATATGATAATCCAATTATAACATATTTACATTTAATTTTTAAAATAAATTTTATATAATTTTATTTCTACATATTTTTATTTTCTAAATGAATATAAAAGAAAATTAAATAGTTAAAGTTATTTTTAATTTTATATTACTAATTCTTTTTCTAATTTAATTATTTTTTAATAGCAAAATAAGTATTTATTTTATTATTTTATAATATAATATATATCATACAAAATTATTATATGATAATTATACTTTTATAATACGATAGAACTAAAATTATCAAAATACATAAATAATTTAACTAAAATTAATATATATAAGTATTCAAGTAACAATTTTATAGAACGATAGCGCCAATATTATCAAAATAAATAATTAAAATCATATTTTAATTTTAATTTTAAATGAAAATTAAAAAATAATTTTTTTATAACACACATTGTATTATCAAATATTTTAAAAAAATAAAACAAATTACACATACATTACACGAATGAACTACTAATATAAATATATTTTATTCATATTTCACTTAGGCCCCGTTTGTTTAGAGAATTAGAGGAGGGATTAGGATTGGTAGTGAGGTGAGACCCACCAATATTGTGTTTGTTTTGAAAGATAGGGAGGGGATTGATAGTGAGCTTCAGATTAGGATGGGCCTCCCCAAGGAGATTCGGATTGGCATCTAAGACTTGGTATTAGAAAAATAGTCCGGCGGACTAGAAATTTTTTTTTTTTATTTATTTTTTATTTTATTTTTTACATGTCGAGCATTTTTTTTTACATTAATGTTTAATTTTTTATTTTTTTTGTTAAGTAAAAATCATTATTTTATTTGTTTTATTTTTTTTAGAATTTTTTTATTATTTTTATTTATTACATGCTGGGCATTTTTTTTTTTTGAACATTAATGTTTAATGTTTTTTGTAGTTTTTTCATTTGTTTTATTATTTTATATAAAAATAATTTAACAATTCCTACACCAACAACTATCACAAAAACAACATTTTTTTTAAAATATTAATGTCTAAAGTTTTTGTATTTTTTTATTTGTTTTATTATTTTATATTTATTTTATATAAAAATAATTTAACAATCCCTACACTAACAACTATTATCAAAACAAACACAATTTTACTTAATCCTCTCACTAATAATCTCCTCACTATTAATCTACTCACTATCAATCCCCTCCATTCTACCTCAGGCTTTATATCTTTCTTTCTCTTTTTTAAATTCGTTCCAAAATCTCTTAACCGAATACAGCGATGTTGTAGCCCTATAAAATGGTGTCACACACACGATGCACCAGCACCACCATATGACCCCTCTCTCTCTCTCTCTCTCTCTCTCTCTCTCTCTCTCTGTAGCTGGTGTTGTACGCATGCGTCCCGGGTTTGCTCCTATACTCTTTCAGCCACCACCACTGCCGGCACACAACCACCACCAGGACTACCAAACCCAGCAATCAAAAACTCCTCATTCAAAGCCAAAATAAAGTTCTCTCTCTCTCTCACTCTTCCTTTGCACTCAAAAGGTATGTCTTACCTTTTGTGCCCACCTTCATTATTTTCCTATCTCACATGATTCCTCTTCTTCCTCCTTCCATGTCCTCTTTCTGTTTTTTTTATTTCCATGCATTGGTGTGGGCATATATATATACATATATATATATATTAAATCTACATCATTTTTTTATATCTGGGTATTGAAGAGTTCGGTCAGGTGGGTTCTATTTCTCTTCATTCTTAAATGGATCTGTGTTAATGTTTCAACACTCTTTCATAGATTTAAAAAATTATTAGGAATTTTAAGTTAAAACCCATGTTTGTTTGCATGTGTTTTGAGATGGAAATTGAATTTTTAGGCTGAGATTTTATTTCTTTTTGTTTTTTTTCCCTTCTTTAATTTTGTAATTATGTTTCAAGTGGGTTGTTGGATTCTTTGATTTGTGGGTTATCTCTTGTTTGTCCTATTGCTTTATGTTAAAATGATATATTAAATGGTTTGTGGAGATATGAGAATGTATGGCACTCACAAATATAAAATTTGAAAAAGAAGATGTTTAAGATTGTGTTAGTTTCATTGTTATCTCTAGTTTGTCTTGTTGCTTTATGTTTGTTAATGGAGAATATGATAATGTATGCCCCTCACAAATATAGATTTGAAACAGAGGAAGTAAAATTATGTTAGTTTCATGGTTTTAAAACAGCGGTATTGGGAGACTTGTTGGTATCTGTTGTAGGTATCAAGGGGTGATACATATCGTGTTGCAGTCATCAATTTTTTAAAATCATCTGCTGCAAAAAAAAATTATATATATATATATATATAAATATTCAGCTGAATATTGGCTATGAATCGGTCGTATTGACTGTGAATTAGCTCGTGAATTTGGCTCTAAACCGATATGTGTATCAGGAACCGACTGTGTTGGTTGTGAATTGGCCATATACCGGTACACATTTGATTTTCATTCCGGGTTGTATCGATGTTAGAAGGACAAAACTCAATACATATCAGCCGATATGGTACATATTGGCCGATATTTAAAACGATGGTTAGTTTATTTAATCAAATCTTATTGATTGGGACATCATGATGTAGATGAAGTTTAACCCTCTTAATCTTCTTTTTCTTGTGTTTCTACTTTCAGCTCATTTTGGGGTTTTTTTTATTCTGTTTTTGTAGGGTGTAGCGAAACTTCTCCACTAATTGGACTTTTTAATTCCAATTTGGCTCCCTAAAATAAATCCCATTAGGGAGTCATGTTCCTTGGATGTTTATAAATTCCTTTTTTTTATTTTTTTACTTTTTTAATTCTTGACTTGTTAACTATTCAAATAAGCTTTTGCTTTATGTTTACGTTTGTTGTAGAAAATGTTCAGGCACACTCAGTGCCTAACTTTGTGGAAGTTTTCGTTTAACTTCTTGTATATCTCGTGAGATATGTTTTAATGATAAATTTGTGCTGCGGAAATTATTTGGAAGAATATTTCAAATTGATTTAAAATGTCAAGAATGATCTTAGACTGGCAAACAGTGGTAGTCATATGCAGAAATGTATGTATATATAGGAATGTTACCCAAATCGGGGTAGCCCATACATTTGAGATGATCATGTATAATTTTGAAATTTATGTGAATTATGTTCTACTATTCTCTATTGAGATTGCTCGGTGAGGTTACCACGAAGAATATCATTTGGACTTTTAAATTGAAGAGGCTGTCTTGATCTTTTTTTGTGTATAGATAATGAAAGAATAAATTAAGAGCTTGGGTACACTATGCCCTGTTTGTTTCATTGGATATAAAATAGAGGATATAATATGATATGAAATTTAGTTAGAATATATAATGAATAGGATATAGGTATTGGATAATATATCACCCAAGTCATGTTTGTTGACTTGATATATAAGATTGGATATATATTATCTATGTTTGTTTTACAAAATATATTGTGGGATATAAACAAATAATTTCCAAGATTGCCCTCACAATATTATATTATATTATATTATATTAAATTCATAATTTATATTAAATTATATTATATTATATTAAATTAAATTAAATAATATTATATTATATTATATTAAATTCAATAATATTAAATTAAATTATATTATATTATATTATATTCAATAATTATATTATATTAAATTCAAAAAATATATTAAATTATATTATGTTAGATAGACAAAAGGGTAAATTGGACTTTTTAAATCATATCCTAACCAAGGGGATATGATATAATGGGGGTGGTGGTATTGTATATCCTCCACTTTTGGAAGATATACAATCCCATGGGATATTATATCTTCTTTAAAAAAAAATTGCAAACATGGGATATGTAGACTCTACAGGATATAATATTCAATGTCACCATTTATATCCTGGAATCAAACAAAGCCTATGAGTATAGTACTTGTGTTTAAGAGATTTATTTGTGTTTGATGGTTTTTTTAAATTCATTAAACCTTTTTTTTCTTTTACTGTGGATTTAGTAGAAAAATTGGTAACTGATATTGCAGTAAACAAACTATTTAAAGATACTCTTTAGAAATACAAGCTCAGCAGATTACTTGGCTGCAAATTACCATGGCCGAAGATGATATCTATACAAATGACGGTACGGTTAATATCCATAAAAAGCCTGCAAACAGGATGGAAACTGGAAATTGGAAGGCGTGCCGTTTCATTCTTGGTATGGTTTTAAGGTTCTACTATTTTTTTTAGTCTATGTCGATTTGATATATCCCTCATTGTTATTTAGTATCCAATCACTTCGGAAATTTGGAATATGAAATGGTTTCTCGCAGGAAATGAATGTTGTGAGAGGTTGGCATACTATGGTATGAGCACCAACTTGGTGAACTATCTGAAAAAACGTCTCAACCAAGGGAATGTCACCGCATCAAACAATGTCACAAATTGGTCGGGAACCTGCTACATCACACCCTTGATTGGAGCTTTTCTAGCCGATTCCTACTTGGGAAGATATTGGACAATTGCCAGTTTCTCAGTAATCTATGTCTTTGTAAGTGACTCCATTCCATCTTTCGAAAACTCGATAAAAGATTGAATTGGAGTTATTGTGTTGATTCGAATCAAGCCTCGCAAACTCCAATATGAATTTTATTTTGTGTATTTGTGAATTAAGTTGTCCATAAATTTCATCAATATTTTGTTTCATGGGGTTCATATCACAAAAACAGTCTCTCTGCACCCAAAAGTAAGGCTGCGTACATCTAACCCTCCCCACACCCCATAATGTCGGGAGCTTCGTGTAGTGGGACTAAACCATTACTTGTCTTTGTACCATGATGTCTAGTAGGCTAATTTTGCCTTCAGAAATTGATGAACTCTTTGTGTTGTAGGGGATGACACTCTTAACAATGTCCGCTTCACTCAAAGGACTAAAGCCGACATGCGACAACGATGTTTGCCACCCATCGGCATTACAAACTGCAGTCTGCTTCATAGCACTCTACTTAATTGCCTTTGGGACTGGTGGAATCAAACCATGCGTCTCGTCCTTCGGCGCGGATCAGTTTGATGAAACCAACGAAACCGAGAGGAAGAAGAAGAGCTCCTTCTTCAATTGGTTCTACTTGTCAATCAATATCGGTGCACTTATTGCTTCCTCAGTTTTGGTGTGGATTCAAATGAATGTGGGGTGGGGTTGGGGTTTTGGTATCCCGGCAGTTGCAATGGCCATTGCAATCATATTTTTCTTCTTGGGTAGCAGCTTGTACCGGCTCCAGAAACCTGGAGGGAGTCCCTTGACACGGATTATCCAAGTGGTGGTTGCGTCCATAATAAAATCCACTGTAAAAGTTCCTGACGATAAGTCTCTTCTTTATGAGACTGCAGATGAGGAATGTAACATCAAAGGAAGCCGCAAGCTCAAGCACACAGAAAAGTTTAGGTAATTGTCTTGCAACTAGACTTTGGTGAATAAGAATTTGTTTTGAATTTATCCAAATTAATTCAATTTCATGCACATTTTCATCATTAGCAATATTTTTTTGGTACTTCCTATTTGTATTTGATAATTTATTGAAAGCATCTTTTCAGACATTAATTTTTTTTTTTTTTATTGGCACTGCACTGTCCGGATCAAAGCCTCTTTTCAGAAATTATCATTTGTTCATCCTTGTTAAGGAAGGGCATTACGAGGAGGAAGCCTAGATACAAATCTAATATTTGGATCTTTTGTGTAATATGGCTGCTCTCGGCCTCAAAGCCACATTCTCATACTTAAAAGCCCACTTTATTTATCGAGCATTTCCTTTTTTAATTTCCTAATGTATTCAATCGATTGTGTTGTGGGTGTCTCGATTTTGACCTGGATTAAGCTTATTACCCATGGGCCGATTAATGGGCAAATGGTGAGGTTCCCCCTCCCTTTTTCATAGGGGTCCTGGGCATAGCCCTAGATGATGGGTCCAACCCGGTATTTGTATTTGGGTCTCTTTTGACCTAATTTGTTACTTTTGGATCTTTGTATATATTAGATCATTTCGAGTTCTAAGGTTAAGATTTTTTTTGAGAGTTTATATGACAAACGGTTGCTGAGAGAGAGAGCTGACCACTATGTTCTCTACATTTATAGTGAAACTTCTTTAATTGTTCTTTGCTTTATAGCCAAACAACATAAATTCTTTGTGTGCTCGTGTGTTTGTTCAATTTTAGTTTTGTTCTACTAGGCTTTTTGCATAAAAATCTGTTTATTGATCAAAATGAAAAGTGGCTTTTCAGTATTTACATTTCGATTGACTTTCCTGATCCATAGTCTCAGTTTTTCCAGAGTTGGTATCCACTAGTGAAGTTTTACTAATTGGAACTTCCCAATTCCAGATTTTTCGACAAGGCTGCTGTGGAGACCGAAGCTGACCGTGTCAAAAGCTCCGCAGATCCATGGCAACTCTGCACCGTAACCCAAGTCGAGGAGCTCAAGTCCATCATCCGCTTGCTGCCAGTATGGGCATCCGGAATCGTCTTTTCCACCGTATATAGTCAAATGAGCACCATGTTTGTCCTACAAGGCAACACAATGGACCAACACATGGGCCCAAAATTCAAAATCCCATCTGCCTCCCTCTCCCTTTTTGACACACTCAGTGTCATCTTCTGGGCGCCCGTTTACGACCAAATCATTGTCCCGTTTGTGAGAAAGTTCACGGGGCATGACCGAGGCTTCACTCAGCTCCAAAGGATGGGCATTGGTCTCGTCATTTCCATTTTCTCTATGGTTGTTGCCGGGATCCTTGAGGTCAACCGGCTCAGCTATGTGAGGAGGCATAACTACTATGATCTCGAGGAAATTCCCATGACTATTTTCTGGCAAGTTCCACAGTATTTTCTTATTGGGTGCGCGGAGGTTTTTACTTTTATCGGGCAATTGGAGTTTTTCTACGACCAGGCACCTGATGCAATGAGAAGCCTGTGCTCGGCGCTCTCTCTCACAACAGTTGCGCTGGGGAATTACTTGAGTACTCTGCTCGTCACGGTTGTGACGAAAGTGACCACAAGGAACGGGAAGCTCGGTTGGATTCCGGATAACTTGAATAGGGGCCATCTGGACTATTTCTACTGGCTTTTGGCGATACTCAGCGTGCTTAATTTCGTCGTTTATCTTTGGATTTCAAAATGGTACACTTACAAGAAGGCTACAGGGAAAACCTCATTGACATAGTTTGATGGAAGGTAGGAAAATATTTTCTGCTTAGGAAAAAAAAAAAACGCTTTGTATTTTTTGGAGGCAAGTTTTTTAAAAACTGTTTGCATTTTGGTTGGTCATTGTTTCAGATTCAGTCTAGTTTGTGTTGCATATTCTGCTCTTGTTTCAAGGTTTTGTCTTAGTTCTCATGGAGATTGAACTGTTTGTAGATATAGATGATTTTTTAGTTTACTCCAGAGTAGTATTCGTTAATTTAGATTGTTTCTATTAATTTGATGGAAGGTTCTCTCTCTCTCTCTCTCTCTCTCTCTCATCCTTGTAGTGGTTTCTGTTTTTATGTTACCTACCATTTCTTCTATGCACTCTGCATGCTTGTATGTTACCAACCATTTTTTGAAGCACAACTTTATTTTGGTCTATCTAGTTCTAATTTCATCAAATTTATCACTATGATTTCATTTTTTATTCAATGTAATCTTTTCATCTACCCGTTTGTATTTTAGCAGAAAAATGACATGTGCACGTATGTGATCTTCTAATCTTAAATTTGAATTGCAAAGCACAATTGAAAATATAAGATTTAAATTGATAAAATTAAAATTACAATTACAATTACGAGAATTAAAGTAAAATTTTGCTGAAATTAAAGTCTAAAGTAGAAGGGGAAGAAGAATGGTATTTTTTTGAAAATTTGAAAATGGAATTTTTGTCATGAAAATAGCTCACTCTCCATAGGCATGTATGTGTCCCCCCCATACTGTTAATTTGTATGAAAAATCTGACGATACATTTTAATTCACAAAAAAAATTATATATGTATTTTCAAATAACAGAAATTACAAGAGGATAAAATAAAGCCTCCGTTTTTTTTACTCACCCATGTAATAATTTGTTAATCGCCCATTGATGGCAACAGGTCGGATAAGGTTGGCCCCCTGCCCCCACCACTGACCCACTAAGCTGAACTTACCCCCAACCACCGGAAGTGGAGGTGCAGTTACTGCACGGGTTGAGCAATTGTTGTGCAATAAAATGGGCTCATTTCGGGTCCTATTTTGATAATTCAAACCGTTCATATTTTAGAATACATTAAGTAAAAAATGCCTACAAAACATTAAGTTAATCAGTTATCGTTTACCTATTCATCCATTCATATTTGTATCTACAAAAATAAATAATAATTGTGATTTAAAATATTAAAATGAATACAAATGTGCGTGGATGAATAGGTAAATTACATCCGATTGATTTGATTTTTTGCAGACATTTTTTACTTAATGTATTCTAAAATGTGAACGGTTCGAATTATCAAAATAGGCCCCGAAATGGGCCCATTTTGCCGCACAGCAGCCGCTGCTGCGCAGCAGCATTCCCACCTCCCAGATTTTCTTTTCCTTTCCTCATCTTTCTCGGGATGCAAACAACGCTATTCACTCAAAAAACATATACAATAAATTATAGGTTTTTTTTTCAAATCACAAAATGAGTCAGCACCAGGAAGCAAAAGTACCATCCTTAATCCTGAAATAGATTTTACCCAACAAATATTAAACTCCAAGAAAAACAAAAAAGACATTGGAGGGCAAGGTCCAAAAGCCAACAGATACCAGTCAAAAGAGATAACTTACATTGAATGAGAGGCCATAAACACTTCAACTGAACATATATGAGATAACCCCTCTCTCTCTCTCTCTCTCTTCAAAGCAAACTGAAAATGATGATCTCCCTCAAAGCCATGCAAACCTCCTTCACTCCGACCAAGCATGCCCTCCTTTTCCACACAAGAGGACTCTTCTCCAATAAGAAGAATCCCATACTACTCTCACTCTGCAAATCCAACAACTCAAATTCAGATGACTCCCCTCCTCCACCCGAAGGAGATGCTCGCAAACAAGAACTTCTTGCAAGAATTGCAATGCTTCAAACTCAAAAAGTCCGTCTCACCGACTACTTAGACGAGAGATCCCAATATCTAACCCAGTTTGCCGAAGAAGCCAATGCCGAGTTCGATCAGATAGGCGAAGATGCCCTCAAAGGACTTGATGAAGCCAGCACAAGAGTCTGTTCAAATTCTCTCCTCTGTCCAACAATGCTTAGAGAAACAAAAACGTGGTTGCTTGGTAGTGAAATTTCTACTTTCATACATAACCCATTTTTATTGATTTGTGATTGGCAGATAATGGAGAATATAGAGAGTCGTATGCAAGCATTTGAAGAATCTACAGAGTTGGACAAACAAGAGATTGAGAAGAATGTAAAGAATTTGGAAGAGTTTGAAGATCAAATTGAGAAAGGCAGGAATGAAGGGCTGTTCTTTAAGAGCTTGATGCAGAGGAAGCCTATTGAAAAGGAGAAAGCTAAAGAAGAAATGGAAAAGATTAAGGAGATTACTATAGGCAGTGCAGGATCAAAGACTAGGCGGAATATTTACCTTGCATTGATTGGCTTGGTTGTCATCAGCATTGTTGATTCCTTGATCTCTTCATCATCTGAATGGCAAAAGCTTGCGATTCTTGGGGTGATTTTGGTGGGTTTGCTTTCTCAACTTATCTACGAACAGACAATATTATCAGAAGGAACAGAAAAAGAAAAACCCAAGGACGAGAAAGAGTGAAGTCCTTTCTTTCCTCAAGTTCATATATGTGTATATATATATGATAAGATCCTCGGTCTAATTAATTTTCCTGTAGCATTATTTGACACATACAAATATGGCATGAGATAAAACTCCAAGTGTGATCTTACTACTTAGAGCAAATACATCAGGCAACTTTGCTTTTGCATCATCATCTATTTTTGGTGATTATCTCTAAATCACCAAAACTCACGTAACTAAGTTACTGTGTGATGCTTTACAAATTACAATTGACTTTTAATATATCACTCTGTTGAAAACAAAAAGAAAGATCGAAGCTTTTACATCATCAATTCTCTAATCAGTGATAGACTAAAATCGAGAAGATTAGGGAGATTACTATAGACAGTGCCAGATCAAAGACCAGGCGGAATATTTGCCTTGCTTTGATTGGCTGGCTCCTCGTCATCAGGATTGCTGATTCCCTGATCTCTTCATCTGAATGGCAAAAGGTTGCAATTCTTGTGGTGATTTTGGTGGGTTTGCTTTCTCAACTCATCTACAAACAGAGGATATTTTCAGAAGGAACAGAAAAAGAAAAACCTGAGGACAAGAAAGAGTGAAGTCTTTTCTTTCCTCAATTTCATATATATATATATGATAAGATCCTTGGTCTAATTAATTATTCTGCAGCATTATTCGACACATGTGAATATAGCATGAGATATAACCCCAGGTGTGATCTTACCACTTAAGGCTAATACATCAGGCACCGTTGCTTTTGCATCATCATCTATTTTTGATGATTATCTCTTAATCATCAAAACCCATGTAACTAAGTTACTGTGTGATGCTTTACAATTGACCCTTTTTTTTTATATACATCATTGTGTTGAAAACAAAAGAAAGGAGAAAAAAATGGAAAGACTAGGGAGATAACTATAGACGGTGCCGTGGAATATTTACCTAGGATTGATTGGCTTACTTGTCATTGGCATTACTGATTCCTTCATCTCCTCATCATCTAGATGAAAAAAAGTTGCGACTCGGGGGCTGACTTTGGTGGGTTTTCTTTCTCAAATCATCTATGAAAAAAGGATGTTATCCGAAAGAACAGAAATGGAAAAACCCGACAACAAAAAAGAGTGAAATCCATTCTTTCCTCGGTCATTATATATATATGATAAGATCCTTGGTTAATTAATTTTGCTGTAGAATTATTTGAACACATACAAATATATCATGAGATATAACCCCAGTGTGAGCTTACCACTTGGGGCTGATACATCACGAAACTTTGCTTTTGCATCATCAACAATTTTTCGTGATATTTCTTAATCACCAAAACCCATGTAACTAAGTTACAGTGTGATGCTTTACAATTGACTGTTTATACATCATTGTGTTGAAAACAAAAGAAAGATTGAAGCTTTTCCATCATCAGTTCTTTAATGAGTGATAAACTATATCTTTGATGAGAAACGAAATGGAGAAGAATAGGGGAGATTACAGTGCTGGATCAAAGACTAGGTCGAATATTTACCTTGCATTGATCAGCTTGCTCTTCATCGGGATTGCTGATTCTGTGATTTCTTCATCTGGATGGCAAAAGGTTGAGATTCTTGGAGTGATTTTGGTGGGTTTGCTTTCTCAACTCATCTACAAACAGAGATATTATGAAATGGAAAACCCCAAGAATGAAAGAGTGAAGTCCTTTCTTTCCTCAAATCTATATATGTATATATTTATGACAAGATCCTTGTTCTAACTAATCTTGCTGAAGAATTATTCAACACTCGAATATAGCATGAGATTTAACCCCGTGCGTGATCTTACCACTTGGGGCTTTTACATCACGCAACTTTGCTTTCGCATCATCAACTATTTTTGGTGACATTTCTTAATCACTAAAATTCATGTAACTACCGTGTGATGCTTTACAATTGACTTTTTATACATCATTGTGTTGAAAACAAAAAGACAGAACGAAGTTTTTACATCATCTGTCCTATAATGAGTGAGATAAACTACGAGAATTAAATCCATCTATTTTCTTTTCACAACAGTTCTCATTTTAGGATTGAAAAAACAAATTACACAAGGAGTAGCCAGAAGTAGCTTTGGTGCATTCAACCCCAAGAAATTGGCAAGCAAAAGCATAAATCTTTCTGCCTAATATCTTCGGGGCATCTGAAGACCAACCTGCTTCGAAGCTGCACAAGCATGGCAAGAACAAGCTTGCTTAGCTTAGTAATCATGTGGTTCATAAAGTGAGTTAGATACTGTTAGTGAATCTGCCTTGTACTTGTCATACTGTAGTTTCATGAACCACTAATTATGGTTCCCATGCCAAAATTTTCAGAGGTACCTAATCTTGAAAACATGTAACAAAACTATATGAATAGCAAGGTTAGGCATTATTGGTTGAGTACGAGAAATCACCATTTGCCAACTAGCTGATTTGGACAAGTCTTCACTCAAAATATAGAACAAACGCTAGGAATATCGAACCAACCACCTGCAAGAATGACACAACATTAAGAACAGGCTCCTATGGCAGAACTGAGAGAATTATAGCAGGCTTGGGGCAGAAGAATTTCAGAAAAAGTTATTTCAACCTCTAACATGTATGTTCTCCTAAATGTACGCATCTCTGGCTCATGCACATTGGGTAATTGCTCAACATCCAATAATGCATTGGCATCAATGCCAGAGAGGTAATTTAGAACCTGCAACAATTGGGCTGAGAGAACACAGTTCCAGCAAGTCTTTTCTCCCAAAGTGGTGTTGAACAATTTTAAACACCTAATGGAAACTTAAAACAGAATAATAGCAATAGTTGGGTCATTGATTAGCTTTATTCCAATTCAACTTAATTCCAAAGGCAAGTTAAAAAATCAACCAAGGGAAGCAAAAGGAGTTAGAAGCTTACTTCCAAGACTTCTAATGCAATGGTCATGTCAGAGCTCTATTATTAAGCACAGCTCTGACAAGTATGTTCCATGTAATGACAGTAGGGAGAATTCCCCTACCCAAAGCATCATTTAAGAACCCAATGGCATCTGATATTCTGTTGCAAGAACAAAGCCCCTTCAGAGTAATATTATAGGAAATGATATCTGGTTGTATCCCTTCTACTAAAATGCGAGCCCAAATAGTTGATGCCTTTTTGCATTCTCGGGCTTTGTAAAGCCCCCCCATGACGGTATTGTGGGTCACAAGATTCGGAACACTGTGTTGTTTCACCATCTTCGAATATAAGCGCAAAGCATCTTCCACTTTGCCTGCAGAGCATAGCCCATGAATCATGATATTGTGCATCGTCACATCAGGCTTCAAACCTTGACTGAGCACTTGAAACCACAAATTGATGGCCATGTCAACCTTCTTGCTCTGACAAAGACCATCCATCAACAAGCTGTATGTGATCATGTCCGCCTTCCATCCTTTTTCCAGCATTTCCTTCACAAAGTGATAGGCTTCGCCATATCTTTCTGCTTTGCATAACCCATTAATGAGAGTGTTGTAGGTGACAACAGTTGGGGAGCAATCTTTTGTGATCATTTCACTGAAAAACTGAATTGCAGCTTCAATTTTAGAAGCTCGAATCAAGCCATTGAGCAGTGCATTGCAAACATGGGGATTTGGCTTACAGCTATTCTTCGTCATTTGGTCAAGCATGCAAACTGCTTCATCCAACCTCCCTTCTCTACATAACCCATTGATCATGGACGAATATGCAAAAACATTCAACATATCTCCTTTATCTTCTGCCTCTTTTAGGACACGTAAAGCCTTGTTCAAGTAGCCATTATTGCACAATCCATGAATCAGAACACCGTACGTTGTGGAATCTGCAAGAAAATCTTTCTCGGACAAGCGTTCCCAAAGAGAAATTGCTTCGTCCACCTTACCATTCTCAAACAATCCTCTGATGAATATGTTGAAACTCACAACATTACATTGACCCTCCTTACCCATTAAATCCCACAAGTCAAAACACTCTTTAATCATTGCGGCTTGACAATACCCATTAAGCAATGCATTATACGTCACAACATCCGGAGACACCCCACTCTCAACCATTTCTGTGTATACTCTTGAAGCCCCATCAACATTTCCAGACTTGCATAACCCATGTATCAGACTACTATAAGTAAACAAATCTTGTTGTCGATCGTTTTTCTTCAGTCGCTGCCAAAACTCCAGACTCTCATTGAACTTCCCGCACTTGCACAAACCACTGATCATAACATTGTAAGATACAACATTTGGATAAACAGATGACTCCTTTATCAACCTCTCCCAAATCTCATTAGCCCCAACAGAATCACCTTTCTTAAAAAACCCATCAATCAAAATATTATAACACATCACATCGGGAGTCACACCTCTTTCAAACATTTCTTCGAACAGGTTCAAGGCATTCGATAAATCCCCACTCTTCGCAAGCCCATTGATCACAGTACCATAACTAACCACACCAGGACTCAAACCCTGATTCCACATCCAACCCAACAACTCTTTTGCCTTATCAAATCGCTTCTTCTTACACGAAATTTTGATCAAAATATTGTAAGTCTCCAAATTCGGAGACAAACCCATTGTTTCAAAGAACTTGAAAAACAACTCCGCTCTATCCAACCGATTCGAAACAACAAAAGCATTGAGCAAAGAATTGTACGACCTTATACCCGGTTCGCACCCAAAAATCTCGCTCATTCGCTGAAAAACAACCAACGCTTGATCAACCATAGAGTTCTTGGAATAGGCCTTGATAACCGTCAATGCAACGTCTTCGGAGCACTTGCACTTCTGGGTTCGAATGAGTTCGACGATTCGGTTGACGTGAGAGACGAGTCTTGGGTGGAGGAGCTGGCGGAGGATGTGGTGGAAGACGGCGGCGGAATGGGCGTAATTTGGGTGGCGAGTGGCGGAGTCGAAGAGGGAGAGAGCTAAGTTGGGGTTCTTCTCTGCTTTGAGGAGTTTGAGGAGTCGTTTTGGAGAGAGAGATTTGGGTAACACGGCCATGATGAGAGAAAAGACGATGATAATAATGAGTTGTTGAAGTTGTTTCTCTTTCTCTCATTTTATTGCATGTTTTGATCAGAGCTTGTCGACCAGAGTTGATTGAGGTCTCTCTCCGGCGATGATTTGTGATCGGAGATGAGATTTCGGAGACCAAATCGATGATTTGTGAATGGTTTGGGAAGGGGACTCCAAGGAAGAAAGTGGAATTTGAATAGAAATAAGGGTGCGAAAACAAAAGGGGTAAATTACATTGAGCTCCCACAACATTTGGGAGATTGCATTTTGGGTATTTGGGTAATATTTGAAAAGGAAAAGAAAAAATGTGATGTAAATATGAATGAAATATAAATTAAATTTTTTTTACATTTATCTTTCCTTTCCAAATCTATATCTAAATTTATAATCCAAATAAAATGTTAAAGTAAAGGACATTTAGGATCCATTTGTTTTGGCGGTTTCTTTTTTTTCTATAGAAAATATTTTCCTATGTTTGGTTGCATTTTTCAAATTATTGTGCTAATAGTTGCATTAGTAGTAGTGGTAGTGGCAGCAATGGTGGTATCGGGATGGATGTAGAGATGATAATGTGGTAGTAATGATATGACGATGATGACAATAGAAATAGTGACAACGACAATGGTGATGATAGTCATGGCTATGGCAATGGTGGTAAACACAACTTTAGTGGTCATTGGTAAAAATTTAATTCAAAAAATATTTGTTGCCTTTTAAAAGTGAAAAATATTTTCTACTATAATAGGCTTATTTTCTGTTAATTCGCTTATAAGCATAAAATGTTTTTAGCCAATTACAATGTGTCATGTACTATAAAGGATTACAAAATATGACAATGTGTTTAATTGGTTTTAATTCAAGACTACAAGATCAAATCACAAGTTGCCACGTGTTAAAATAATGTAATCTTCAAAATGACAAGTCTTTAACTAATATAAGGGGGTGTTTAGTAGAACTTATAAGCTGCTTATTTCAGCTTTTAACTTAATTTAAGCTAAAAGTTTGTGTTTGGTTCAGCTTAACTTGATCAACTTATAGCTTAAATGAAATTAATTTTCAACTTTTTTGAAAAGTTTGTGAGGGGGTGCTTATTAAGTTAGCTTAAGCACACAGCTGGTATTGGGGAGAGAAAATGACTTAAATACCCCTTACAATTTCAAATTATTACATGTGTGCTATGTATATAAACCAAAACACTTTCATTCTGCCTCTTCCATGAATTTGTCTGGCGATTTTCGACGACTTCGAGCGATTTCTGACAAACCAGAGATCTCTCTCTCGTAGGAGCATGAACCATCGATCTCTCTATTCTCTCTTTCTCTCGCTCTCTGCTACATCCATGGCACTGTACCTAGGGTTTTTCGTCGTCGATCTTGGGCGTGTGTGTTCGCGATAGCGAACCAGAGATCTGTTAGATATGTATATATGTATGTGTGCGTGTGTGTTTGTGTGTCTGAAGTGGCTGTGCGTGTGTGTTCGCGATCGCGACGGCATCTCTCTCTCTCTTCGGCATTTGCGGCAGATCTCTCTTTCTCTCTCTTCGCGATCGTCGTAGTTCTCTGTCTCTCCGGCGTTATTCGTAGCAAATCGGCGTTGTTCGTAGCAGATCGTTGTCGTCCCTTTCCGATGAACCAGAGCCGTCACCCTACTGGCTAGGGTTTTCATATTTTTTTTTCTTTTTCCTAGAGGTTTTCAGTATTTTTTAATGAAATAATAAAAATATTATTATTATTATTTTAGAATTAATTATTAAAATTGGTTGATTACAAAAATCAATAATATTAGTATTTTTAGTATTAATTATTTTAGTATTAATTTCAGTATTTTTATATTAATTAATACTAATTAATAATTTTAGTATTTGAGAGGAAGAATTATGAGCCGGGTATGAGCCAGGTATGGGCCGAGTTAGAGGCCGAGCAAATTTGAGGCCCAATGGTATGTTGGGCCGCGATAACTTTGGATTTGCCCGGAGTTAGGGCTGCTCAGAGATAGACCGAGCCACTTGGATCTGCGCAGGTGATAACCGCGCAACTTGCGTTGCTCGGTCAAAGGCGCGCACCGTTAGCCCGGTCGAGAAGCTTGTGCCAGAAGCCCGGCTGGATGGCCTTTGGTTGACCGGTACAACCAGTCTGAAGGTCGGCTCCGCCAGAATGCTGCCGAGCATGGCTGGAAAGGATCTCAATTCTTGGACAATTGGGCATAGAACACAGCATGGCCGTCAACAGTCGAGAAGATTCAGCCCGGCTGCCGAGCTCCCAGTAGAGTGGGCTGGCAGTCGGGTTAGGTGATGTTCAGCAAGAATTGTGCTGACAGATGGGATAGCAGAACCATGTGTCGGGAGATCACTGGGAGTAGATTTGGGGCACAGAAGGTATATAAGCAAGTCTGTGCCCCCCATGCTGGAGGACGAACATTTGGTAAGAGAAATACTTATACTCCATTCACTCCTCATTCTCTCTATCCTCAGGTGTGTGCTAACTTGATCGTCGGAGGGGTTTTCCGGCCACACACTGCCGGGTAGCTCACTGCTATTATGCACGCAGGTGATCGGATAGAAACGGAGCTCGGAAGCTAGGAGTGCGGGCTCGCTTGGATATTTGCCCCCTGCACAATTGGCGCCGTCTGTGGGAAGCCGACAGACAAAACCTTATCTTTTAGGCTCATCTAATCGCCATCCATGGCGAACATCGAAGAGATTCCACTGTCTGCCGTCGACGGAGTTACCCCAGAGTCGGGCAGACGGAGAGAAGGACATCCCATCATCATTCCTCCGATGGCGGACCTGGAGATTTCTCTAGAAGGACATTTAAGAGATGAGCGGGATAAGCGCGGAAGAAGTTATGGTTATTCACGGAGTCCAGACGGTCATCGGCGGTGGAGAGAATCACATGCCAGACATCTGGAACATAAGTTAAGGGACCAGGACGCCGTCATCCGGCGAATGGCGGCGGAGATGGAAGAGCTGAAGCGGCATGTCAAAGGAAAGGGTGTAGCTAGAGAGGGAGACCACAGTGAGCGCACCCAACCCCGCCGTTCAAGCAGTCAGAGCCAGCGGCATACACCGTCCATCTCAATCACTAGAAGTTACAAGGTTGGAGATTCCGATGCGCACGAAGAGAAATCCAGCGTGCAAGATAGTACCTACCGACCCTCACATCCGGCGACGACGTCGAGGTATTCTTATTCTGCTCATTCAAAGGATTTGCGGGCAGTTTTGAAGGAACGGGCTCGCCGACGGGAGGCTCAAAGGGTGCCGGCGTTCCAGCGGCTATCCTATGGGGTTCACGCCAGCGAGGAGGTCGGAATGCCTCTACTCCGCCCAGCCGCGCCTCTCCTTGTAGATACAGACTTGGCAAGGCTGAGTGCCACTCCATTCTCCGTGGATATTGAGACCGCACCGTTTCCGGCGGGCTTCCACCAGCCAAAGTTCACGCTCTATGACCGAAAAACCGACCCGTATATGCATGTAAGTCATTTTCGACGGGTCATGACCGGACATAGGCGGAATGATGCTCTTATGTGCTTAATCTTCCCGTCAAGTTTGGGCGAGCTGGGTTTGAAATGGTTCGAGAGGCTGCCGGAGGGAAGCATTGAAAGGTGGCAGCAGTGAGCTGGGTTTGAAATGGTTCGAGAGGCTTCCGGAGGGAAGCATTGAAAGGTGGTAGTAGTTGGCCAAAGCCTTTGTGACGCGCTTCAAAACCAACACCAAAACACCAAAGGAAGTTGATCACCTCCTGAGTGTCAAGATGGAACCGAGCGACATATTGAAGGCATACAACTCCAGGTATTGGGAGACCTTCAACGAGATTTTGGATTACCCGACCAACCTTGCAATCACACAATACAAACGAGGTCACCCGGTCGAACATAGACTGCGGGACTCGCTTACCATGCACCAGCCGACATCCATGGGCCAGCTAATGCAGCGCATCAATGAGCACATCCGAGTGGAGGATGATGCGTCAGCATCTACCATGAAGGCAACTCAGGTTGCAACTGACAAGCGGTCAGCTAGCAAAGTGCACGTGGTCGGGTAGGAGTCCGGCCGATCCAGCGACCGCGCTAAGGAATCGGATCGTGGCACTAATCGCAAGAACCGCGATAGGGGACGTCGGAATGACCGGGATGACTACCCCGGGATGACGTAGCCGATGCTAACAGAAGGTTGAAAGCAAGGACAGGCATCACCACGGTCTTTAAGATTCCAATCTATCACATACTTAGTGAAATCCGTGACGAGGAGTATGTCCGGTTTCCTGCTAAGTTAGGCGACGGACAGAAGGGCTTCAATCCGCGGTACCGTTGCACATTTCACCGGGAGCGAGGCCATCGGACAGAGGATTGTTTGCCTTTGAGGCAACACTTGGAAGAGCTGTCGCAGCCGGACACTTGGACCTTTACATTGATGGTGGCGTGAAGGCCAATCAAGCTCTGGTTGATCCGCGGGGACCGGATGACCGAGATGCGCCTCCCCAAGGAGTTATTAATGTCATCCACGGCATAGTGGAACCGGCGCGTGTATGCGAACTCCGAGGAATGATCAAGAAGGCAGAACACATGAGTGAAGTTTTGTCGGTTCAGCCTGCAATCAAAAGGGGGAAGATCGAAGAGAAAGATGTGATCAGTTTCTCCTCAAGAGACCTAGAGCGCATTCAGACGCCGCACAACGATGCCCTTGTGGTAACACTCCACGTCAAAGAATTCGATGTCAAACGGATCTTGATCGATTAGGGAAGCTCGGTCGAGATCATGTACTACGACGCTTTCAAACAGCTCAAGCTCCGGGATATAGATTTGGCCCCGGCAACTTCGCCACTGGTTGGTTTCAACTCACAACCGGAGTGGCCTTTGGGAAAGATTATCCTGCCGGTCAAAGCGGGATCCGTTGTTAAACAAGTGGAGTTCTGGGTGTTACAAGTGCCATCCACTTATAATTTGATCCTTGGAAGGGGATGGTTTCACGCTATGCAAGCTGTCGCATCGACCTATCACCAGGTGATGAGATTCCCCTCGGTTATGGGGGCAATCGAGGAAATTTGGGGCGATTAAGTCATGTCGAAGCAATGCTTCGTGGCGGTCAACGGGAGCCGAGCTGCCAAAGGCTTCGTTCAAATGATTGAGAGACTGGGAGACCGGGGAGTCCTTGACGATGTGGGCACCAAGGCCGAGGACAAAGTTGTCGAGGAATTGGTGGAAGTGCGCATCGATACAGA